AAAATCCACTCTCATATTTGGGGTTCAAATATGATCAAATAGGATAAAGTGCAGCTACTAACCAGTCAAACCATGAGACATTACTGGCTAATAAGGAGCGTACCACTTTAAGAACGAACTATAACACAGAATCCGGGCAGTTTTTGGATTTTATATCTTTTCTTGAAAATTATGAATAATTTTTTTTAAGCGAGTAATGTTTGAAAATCCAGCAATTGTTTCAACAACTCTAACAAACTTTAAAAAATCATTTTTTCTTAAAACCTTGCCATTTTTTACAGGCACCATTTTCAAAATCCTAAATATTTTATGAAAAAATGCGGGTATTTTATGGGAAAACATGAACATTATTAGATTTTTGAGAAAAAGTTGTAAACAGCAAGAATTTTAACGTTCAGAACAATTTCTAGAAAAAGGGACATTGTTTGAAATTCCTGTACATTTTTTGAATTTATACAAACAATTGAAAATGCAATTTTCAAAATGCTGAATAACTTTTTAAAACCATGAACCTATTTTGAATTTTCCAAAAAAAATTGAAATCACAAATATTTTCTAAAAAGGTAAATAAATTTGAAAAGAAAACAAGAAATGGAAAAGGAAACATGAATCAATGAAAAAGTCAGAAGGGTCCATATGAGAGCATGTTTTTTCGGCATCGTCAAATAACCTCAATTTTTTCATGAGCTTATATGACCAGTGCAAGGAACCATGCCCAGATATTTGAGTTTTCATCATTTTTTGCATTTTCTGGAGTTTTGTGACTGAACAATGCCCGATAAATGGTCAACGTGACACAACTTGCATACGATGTCAAAAATCGTTCAAATTTGACATGGATGACTATCATGAGCATTTCCACATGCTGGCAAAAGTTAGGTCATTTCATGCATGTCCAAAAATAAATCATTTTCAACAGAGATTGTTCAGGCAGGCGAGAAGAGTCTGTATGAGAGTATGAGTCATTTTTTAATTTGTATTGAAAAAATAATATGGTATTCTAAAGAAATTTTCCAATTTTCGAACAGGTTTCAAAATGAATAATAAAGTTCAAGAAGGAGAAAATCAATTAACAAAAAAGAGAAGAGTGATGAAAAATTAGAGAAGAAAAAATGTTTAGGCCCTAGAAAATAGAAAAGTTTTCAAAAAATATCCGCAAATATGAAAAAACGCTAGCACATTTGAAAAAGTGTTCACACCTTCACCATGCATGCCCACCAGTTGACCAAAGTTGATGCCCTTTTTTTGAATGTCCACAAAAATACCATGTTCAACCTAGGGTGTCCAGATAGGCGAGAAAGCTCCGTTGAGAGCACATTGTTTCTCAACATCCGTTAAATGACCTCATTTTTTTCATTGACTTGTATGACCAAATCAAGGCACCAACCAAGTTGTTTTGGTTTTCTACACATTTTGCAATTTCTGGAGTTTACTTAGCAAAAAGACGGCGATAAATGGCCAGATGTGACGCAACTTGCATATGGTGTCGAAAATAATTCAAACCTGGCATGGATGCCTACATGAGCATGCCCACCTGCTTGTAAAAAGTTATGGTCATTTCATGCATGTTCGAAAATAGACCATATTCAACAGAGGTGCTCGGGTAATCCAAAAGGGTTCGTATGAGAGCATGTTTTTTTGGACATCTTCAGATGACTTCAATTTTTCCCCATAAGCTTAAATAGCCAATTCAAGGCACCATGCCAAGGTTTTTCAAGGTTTTTAACAATTCTTGCATTTTTTTGAAGTTTTCTCGATGAAAAATGGCTAATACATGCTCATACGTGACGCAACTTGCATATAGTGTCAAATTCGTCCAAACCTGGGCATGCCCGCCTACTAGCAATAGCTGGATGATTTCATGCATGTCCAAAAAGAGACCACGTTCAATGGAGGTTGTTCGGGTAGGCGAGATGGGTCCTTTATGAGAGCTCATTTTTATCGACATCGTGAAATGACCCAAAAAATTCCATGAGTTTATATAACCAATTCAAGGCACCATGCCAAGTTGTTTGAGTTTCTAATTATTATTTTTCGCAATTTATGGAGTTTTTTTGATGAAAAATGGACGACAAATGGCCGAACGTGACACAACTTGCATATGGTGTTGGAAATCGTTCAAACCTGGCATGATTGCATGCCATGGACATGCCTACCTGCTAGCAAAGTTGGGGTCATTTCATGCATGTCTAAAAATATACCATGTTCAATGGAGGGTGTTCGGTTAGGCCATATGGAGTCCGTATGAGAGTACTTTGTTTTGGCATCTTCAAATGACCCAAAAAATTTCCTTGAGCTTTTATGACCAATTCAAGGCACCATCCCAAGTTGTTTGAGTTTTCGAGAATTCTTGCATTGTCTGGAGTTTTCTCAGTGAAAATGATCGATAAATGGCCCCATCTGCTGGAAAAAATTGGGGCGGTCTCAAGAATGTCTAAAACTAGACCATGTTCAACAGAAGGTGTCCGTGTAGGCCAGAAGGCTCTGTCTGAGAGCACGTAGTTTGTCGACATCTTCAGTTGTTGTATTGGGTTGACATTTTTAGTTTTTAGGTTTGCTAACCAAAATTTTAAAAAGAATGAATGGTAAAAAACCAAATTTTTGGTTTCTACCACCTTGATAGGCGATGGCATCGCTCTGATTGGGCGCCTGTTGGGCCAGCCCAAGAGTTCACAGATTTGAATAAAGTTCATCGATGTTTAAAAAATATTCATGAATTTGAAAAATTTCACAGATTTCAAAAATAATCACCCAAAAAAGTTCAAGAAAACAAGAAAGTTCATGAATTTGATTTTTTATTTTAAAACGTTCCCACATTTGGAAAAAAAGAGAAGAAAAAACCCAGAATAAAACAAAACAAAAGCCTGTTTTAAAACACATGATTTGTTTCCTGAAAATTCACAAAGTTACATTAGCCACATAAGAAGCTAAAAAGAAAGGAGGTGTTCAAACAAAATTTGTTCAAAATGTTAGTTCTGAAGTTTGCATGCTCCTCATGTTTCTTTAAAAGTGTTCAAAATGTTGCTCAGAAAAATGTTCTTAACATTTTGAACTACCATATTTCCTTAATTTTTTTGAAATGGTCATGCTTGTAACAAGTGTTATTCAATTTTTTTGAAAAATGTTCATGCTTTTATGAAAAAGGACTTTTTGTTCAAGTGGTTCAAAAAAAGTTGGATTATGAAACATTATTCAATTTTTAAAATTCATTCAGAATTTCCTTTGTGTTCCACCCTGCATTCGGGTTTATTGGGTCCGAAAGCCACCAAAACTTGTGTACCGTGTTTACTAGGCTGCTGCATAGTTTATTAAAAAAAATACTCAGGCTGCTACATTTAAGCACGTCACTTTATTCCCTCGTCTCTCCATGGAAGCTAGCACATGGGTCTCCTTGATTGGATCAGGCAGTAGCCATTGTACGCACTGATGCACAGGTTGGTTAATAGGCCTAATTAAAAGCGGCGATTAACTGAGATTTATTTCCGATTTCTTCTGTGCATTTTCTGTGGTCTTCCCATTTTCGGCTCATGGGCCCAATAAATCCGGCCGATGGGATTCTTAAGTTTGCACACTCATAGTTATTAACAAAAACTAGTTAGCTCAATTGGTGAGGGACTCAGCCTCATATGTAAGAGATCTCTGGTTCGATTCTTAGCAGGGTCATGTATTTTGGGAATTTTTACATCTCGCGTCGCGCAGCCTTCATCATTGGGCCGGCCCGGCCGAGGGTGTCTCCCACGCCATATTATGTTTGGGATCTATTTTGAAAAAAAGACCATCCTACCCTTTATTACGAAGGGGAATCAAGAAATCTCGTGCGTTAATGTATTTAGGGGGTTGTACCGAAGAAGAAGTGTTGTTTCTTTTGGTGAGGGCTCCACGAATGTTTTTTATGCTAACACTTTGCGTGAATGTTGAATGTTTGATCATATTTGATCCCCCAAAGTTTCAGTTTTTTTCGACTTTTTTATCATATTGTTTTGAAGTTACTGTTTATGAGGGTGCCCCTGCACCCGGGAGCTGAAAGTCTAGTTTCATCCATCCATTAACCCCAAACAAAAGTCAACATATCATCTAGTGCAATAGAAAATCTCAATATTAAAGTGCTCCAGTTCGATGCTTCGGCATCCGACGAAAACAGAGGAAAGGTACATTTTAAAAGATATAGTGAAGCTAGAGAATATGCTTATTATTTTTGGTGGGCCGTTTGGCATCACTGGTAGGCGTTGTCTTGTGGCAGCACAACATTGCGGTTTGTCTGGCAGCGGTTCCATGCTATTCATGGCAAGCTGCAGCACAACATTGCGTGTACCCGTGGGAGCAAGAAATCACCCAACCTAGTAAATTGCTCAAGTATTAAACTGTTTCGTCCATTCATTATTTAATTGCTTCAAGTACTTCAATGTCTTTTTGAAACCGAAGCACTTGTAGTGTTGTGTTGTAATACGATATATGTGTATATTTTCTTAGTATAGTGCTGCTCACTTTATCTCAACAAAAGCTCTTTTTTGTCCCTTTTCTCATATATTCTGAAATTTGTAACATTTTGATTAAATTGTTATCCCGCGAAAATTTCAAATTTGCTGATTCTCTCCTTTGTTCAGTGTCTTAGCAGGATCAGAGGTTCAGTCCATACTAAGAAGGCCAAAAACATGATACGCTTTTCTAGAGATCAACTGATGGGGTTAGCATTTGTTACATTTGGCATCATATTATTTGTGGGTTTCTTCTAGGCCGCCGTTCTGTCCAAAATGCTTCCGCCTTACGAGAACCAGCTTCTGTCTGTCATCCAAAATGATAGGTAAGAAATTTTAAAACGAACAGATGATCACCATTTTTTTTCTTTTCCTCTGTAGCTGATGTTTGACTATGGAGTTTTTACTTAATTGACGCAAACTATTTAACAGAATATATAAATTTTATATGTGCACGCCTTAATGTAAACTAAGTTGAATCTTGCTGGAAGTTAGTACCACTTACTTTGATCTTTGACTTACCAGGTTTTACTGCCTACTCGTGCCCTTGACACTTCCTATGATAATTGTGGCTGTCTATCTGCATTGGCTAAGCATGAAGATGTTCAAGCATGCATAAAGCACTACAAATTAGTTATACGGATCAAGCCTGCAATGTTGCTTAAATGGTAGATCACAGGGATGATGAAGACAATTTTAACTGATAAATATGTGGAGGCATGTCTTGGGTCTTCTGCATTCCACACATTTTTTTTTGTAAATGTATGAACTTGGATTACTTTTCAAGCATAAATTGATGCCCCAACTTACCAAATTGACCTGATTGTCATTGCTAGGAATTAATTTGATTACATTTATGTTTAGAAAGTATAGTTGTGTTTGTGAAATGCTTACGATGGAAAACTATGGTTTTACTTAAATGTTTATATGAAGGAAAATGCAGTTAGAATTTTGTTGTGACTTGATGCAAGAACTACTGCTGCCTAAAAAAGACTTGCCAGTAATGAGATTTAGATATGCGTTGGGAACATAGTAAAAGTTACTGTACCTTCCATCGGTGTATTACCTCTGTGTTTATTTTCATAATTCATTATAGAGTTTTATACACTCTAGCTCATTCCACAATGTTTCTTGCAAGTAGGTTGTTCATAATAGAACAATTTTTGTTCGTTGTTATGAATAATATAAGGTCCATATGCTTCCATCATGGATGGAATATATGTTATGAACATTGATAATGATATGTACATCCATAACACTGACGCTAAATGTCACAAGACTAAAAGAATACAACATATGTATGGCACTGCATTTGGTCACACGGGAGAAACACACGTGGAGAAATTCCATAATGATGGATTTTGAAGTAATTCAATTATGAATCATCTGACACTTGCAACTTTCCTCTGCAAAGTGAAGTGACTAAAATACCGTTCACAGGCCATAAGGAACGAGCAACAAACTTATTGGTGATCATACATTTTGATGTGTGTAGTCCAATAGGTATTGTTGCTAGCAGTGGATTTGTCTATCTTTAGTGATTACTTAAGTAGATTTATGGATATTTGCTTAATGAGACATTAGTCTGGTTCCTTTGGAATCGTTCAAGAGGTTATCAGAATGAAGTAGAAATTATTGTAATAAGAAAACTATGTTTCTGCAATTAGATTGCGGAAAGGAATATTTGAGTTACAAGTTTAGCGAATGTCTGATGAGTTACGAAAAGCGTTTCATAACTTACACCTCCCGTTACACCATTGTGAGTGGAATGTTCATGAAGATGTAATCAAACCATTTATGACATGGTAAGATAAAAAATGAAATAAATCAATTTGCCATTATCCTTTTAAAGTAATGCTTTCGAGACTGTTGCTTTTACACTGAAAAGAGTGCCATCAAATCTATTGAAATGAGCCATGGTATGGTACACCCAACCATGTTATGTCTTTTCTTAACATTTGGAATAGGCTTGTGTAAAGTATTTTACGAACCTATTCCAAATTAGACAAGTGCTACAGGTTATCCCAAATCATTGGGAATTCCTCCATCATTATACGTAGGCAAAAGGTGTGCCACAAAGAAAAGTATGATTTTGAAGAAAATGTTTCTTGCAAAAAGTTGAGTGGGAGGACAATGCAACTCGATGAGATAATGATATCTTCATCATCAGGTCTAGGGAAAGAAACCTTGGAAGTAATTCCAGAGTTTCCTCCTGTGACTGATACGGAAGCCTCTACATGAGATGTATGGACTTCGGATTGATCTTGCAACTGAACCACGTAGGCAAAACTCATGCAAACCTCTCAGATGCGCAAACGAGATATTGTTGTTAGACAACAATATACCTACGATACACAAGGAAGCGTTGATGGGCCCTGACCCCAAAATTGGCTAAATGCCAATATAATCCGAGATAGTATCCATATAAATGATTCAAGATTAGATCTTGATACACCTTCGAAAGACTAAGATTCTTCTAACGAACATTAAAGGAACTATAAACTGAAAGGGATAAAAATGTTTTATCCATAAAGCTCGACTTGTTGCTTATAAAAAATTCAAGGAATTAACTACGGTGAGATTGTCTCACCGTAGCGATGCTTAAAGTTGGTTCGGGTTGAACTAGCAATTAATACATATTTCAATCATGAGATATGATACATGAATGGCAAAAGGATTTTCATGAAATAGAAATACAACCCAGGACTTGTATGAGATACAGTCCAAATTATTTTATCGATCCAGAGGATGCTAGTGAGTGTGCAAACTTCTGAATTTCAGTACTGGACAGAAGGAAGCATAAGGGAGTTGGATTCTTCCTTTTGATGAAATAGTCAAATGAGTTTGATTTCATCAATGGAAAGTGAAGATGCTTGTGGTTACAAGAAAATAAGTGGGTGCATAATAATATTTCTAAAACCTTGTGTGCTTGACACATTGTTGATTGAAAATAATATAAATTTCTTGACACGAATTGGGAGTTCTTTCAAAATAGTTTTTCAATGAAGTGCTTAGGCTAGGTAGCCTTGGTATTAGGCATAATTGTCCATAGAGATAGAATTGCCAAATAGGGTTAAGCCAAAATACATATTGAAAAAATGCTAAAATAGTTTATCATAAAATGCCAAGGAGTGATTCTTGCCGAAGTCACATGGAAAGAGTTTTAGGAAGATCCGGTGTCCTAAAACACTGGTGAGAAAAATACATAATGGAGATTCTAGACACTTTTGTGTTTGGATTAATCATGTATTCCAGAGTATGTCAAACAACCAGATATGTCAGGTACTCCCAAGCAGTTGCGACTAAAGATACCAAAGTGGTCAAAATATTGATCATAGGTTAGCGGTGAAAAATGTCGTTGAGTACTAAAGTAGCATCCAATTGTATTGTCTCCCTTCCTTCTATTGGTACCAAACTAAGACGTGATTACTCAGACTCATCATGGAGTTACAATTGCTCCATATTACCAACATTATACCTCCTTTATATCCAATAGTGCTTCATCCCTTCATATTCTTGGGTATCCCGCATATCGAGATAAAACACCTGCTTATTTTGTCCGTTGTCCACTCCATGGAATATCATTATCTTTTCCAGGGGTCAAGTGTCCTCACAGGGTACTACCACCCTTGAAATGCACAAATTCTTCCATAGACCATATTTCTCATATCCACGAAAATGCTCAAAATCTTCCTTCATAGTCACTGCTCATAAAATCCAAATCAGTACCAATGATGCTAACTTTATTGATTCTCAAATTATTACAATCTCTTGCATTTCCATTACATGCCTCAACTCAACACCTAAATATAAAAGAATTGTTCCCACTACTACTACTATATTTCTCACAAACTCAACTATTTAACATGAATATCCTCATTGGGACAATCTCTGGCAAAGTGCCCTGCTTCATTACAGCGGAAACATATAACTTCTGAAAAGTCTCGAGGTTTCCTTGTGATTACATAGCCTCCTTGGGTCCTCGGCTTCCTTTTTGGGCAATCGTTGAAGTAGTGTCCTGAATCTATGTACCTGAAACATGTGATATGACTCAGGTCCTTCTTTGTAGAAACTGTGTTATTCCTGGAATCCAATCTATTTCTCTTCCTGGATTTTTTTTCCATGCCAATCAGGGCTTCTATTTCCTGTGGGTCATACTCTACTTCCACTGTCCTTCTACTCCACATGAATAGCAAGACTTGGTGCAGGGTTTAATTGGGTCTTCTTTGGGTGTGGCCTCCACCTCTTCCTTCATCATAGGTTCTTCCAAAATTTCCTTGGAGGCTCCTTTCATTGCTTCTTTCTTCTGCTGGATGGTTCTTTGTACCATGGGGTAAATGTGACACTGAGCAGGGTAGTGGGTAGACCTTCATATAAGAAACAAGTAATCTGCCTAGTTGGGCATTCCTCAGCCGGGTGACTTTCTTCACAATGAGGGCATTCATCCTTGTGTTCTTTATGGTTGTGTCCTATTTCTCCATAGAGCTTGCATGCACAAGGTTTCTTCATCTCATTTCCATAAGGCTTCAATTTCTGGGACACAAGGCGAGACCTTTGCAGAGTCAACTTAAATTCTTTCCAAGTGGTTACTCCTTGCCATCCATTGATGGTTTGGTACATCCTCCACCAAGTAGCGGCACCTCTTTCAAAGCACTGAAGAGCATGTTGGGCCATATCCTTTCCGGCTATAGTGTTATGCTTCATGTGATCTTCCATGTTCTGAATCCATCGGTCTGTCTCCAATTGGCTTATCGGTCTGGAAAATGTGAGTTTATCTCCATTCATCCTCTATTGGTTCCAGGGTTTGGGGTGAGATAGGAGAGATAGAGAGGGATGCACGCAATACAAACAACAGTTTTTGAAGGGACATATTTTATTTGTGGCTGTCAGAAAAACGTCAAACAAATGACAACTCACAATCGTCGCATCTAACGCAGGTATATAACAGGGGTTGGGTCTTCTAAAGGTCAATAAATCTTCAAAGTCGCCAAACTCTTCAAGTCTTGTTCATGTCTCCGATGGCTTCTTCCGATCATGCTTGTCCTTCTCAAGTTCTTTTGCAAAATCATCTCTGTTGACGCGAAGTCTCTCGTGATGTTCTTTAATATTTCTGGAGTTGCGTTCCAAACTCCTGGGTTTCAACATCCTTGGCATGAATCTTGGTTCTACTATCCTTTAGTTCCGGTCGAATCTCCGGTATCTCGAGGTTTTGCTCCTCCAGCTTGGCTACTTTCAGCTCCTGGGTCCTGAGTTCTTCGCGAAATGCTTCCTTGTCAAATACGGCTTCCTGAAGGTCCATCTTAAAATTCTTGATGTAATACTCCAGATCCTGGCGATACACCAGCTAAGGTTAAAACTTCATATTTTGCTGATAGGTGCTCCATTAGCCCTTTTGTCATCCAATCCTTCCGACGAGATGCATGCTTAACTCAGCATGGTGACAATAGCATGAGCAGGCGATATCATCATGGATAGCCGTGTTTCTGCACTTGTCGTTGCCATGAGCTACCATTCCATAGTTGATATCTCCTGCCTTAGGTGTTTTCTTGACAAAAACTTAACGCTCCATGTTCCGGTATTTCTCCGACACACCTTGATCTCGGGTATTGCCAGCTTCAA